GCACGAGGTTGTGATTGTGTGGGGTTATAACTGATTTTTTTTGTTAGACCGTTATTAAATAATAACATCCCATGTGCTTCACAAAGACAAGGGGTGCCAAAATCGCAGTTTAACTGGTCAGGTCCAGGATATATATCTATATCTAAATCTGTATCTAAATCTGTATCTGTATCTGTATCTGTATCTGTATCTGTATCTGTATCTGTATCTGTATCTGTATCTGTATCTGTATCTGTATCTATATCTATATCTATATCTATATCTATATCTATATCTATATCTAAATCTAAATCTAAATCTAAACCTAAACCTATATCTATATCTATATCTCTATATCTATATATGACCCCTTCAACTCGGCACGACCCTGAAACCCATCAACCCCAAAACTAGGTCAAATCGACTTAATATGCCACATTGGCCACGTGTTGTTGGATTTTAATTGTTCAAAATTAGCATGCATGTTTTATCGTACATTTCGTTTAACGGCCTCTACTTAAATTTATTTGAAAACTAGCGTACACGCCTTTGAAAATGTCATCAGTTTACTGCAGCCTGTCGCAATAACGTTACTGGATCGTTTACACTCGCCAACATTACCTAGAATAAAATCACTCTTTGAAGTACCCAGTGGTCACCCACCCCTTCCAACAAACCCTAATTCCCCCCCCCCCCCCTAAAAAAAAAAAAAACAACAACAACAAAAACAAAAACACAAAAAAAACAACAACAAAATCCCAACAGGAACAACAGCACCAACAACCAACAAAAGACTGCACTATCCCATTGCTCTTTCCCTGACCCTTACTTCGACCCTTGCACCATATATAGCCACCCCCCTCATGCGGGGCCGTCTTAACAACATAGGCGGCCCTGGGCACATCAATGCACTGGGGCCCCCTAGCAACACAACATACCTGGGCCGTGAGAAGCGGATGAAGGGGGGGGGAACTCGCCCCATACTCAAACAAGTGTGTGTGTGTGGGGGGGGGTGTGCCTGCTCCCCACCACCTCACCAAGAGGAATAAAAATGTAAAATAAAAATAAATATTCCATAAAATGACATTTCGATGCATTCAATAGATGACGTCCCTTTAGGTCGTGAACAAACATACAAAACACGCGCTATTTAATTGAAAGTATTTGAAATGGACCTAAACGATGCCGCCCCAAATCAATTGTTGCCAGAGGCGAATCGCCGCCTCCCCCTCGTTCTACGCCCGTGCTCCTGTCACCCCTACCCCACTCCCACTCCTGGAGCTGCGTGAATTAGAGGTAATAATGGGGGGGGGGCGGTAGGTGGCGCTGGAAATACCTTAGGAGGCGGTGTAAGATGACAACAGCAAACATTAAAAAAATTAAAATGATACTTACATTTTTTGTTTGTTTGAAGAGTTCAACATTATCGATCGTTATGGGCCAAGAAAAAATGGTCCTAATGATACTTACATCTTTTGTTTGTTTGAAGAGTTAAACATAATCGACCGTTATGGGCCAAGAAAAAATGGTCCTAATGATACTTACATCTTTTGTTTGTTTGTAGAATTCAACATTATCGATCGTTATCGGCCAAGAAAAGATAGTCCTAATGAGACATTAGTCAACTATTACAAGGGGCTGTTGAAAAAAATATAAATATTTCCACAGTAAGGTGAAATCACGTACTGTACATGCGTAGAGAATTCACGTTACAGAGGAGCCGACGAAATATTTGTATACGCACTCACCGGATGCATCCATTAGAAATGAAATCATGACGTTGATGTTCTCTGCTGGTATCAGAATAGTCATCACTGACGGTTTTTCCCAATGAAACGACATTTTTATAAGGGAGAGTGGCGAGACTGTGCATAACTTTGACCAAAGGAAAAGTTTTACCACAAAGGGAAGGTTTTTTTTCCCACTAAGGGACGGTTGTTGTTGCCACTAAAGCAGGGTGACCAAATCATAAACTGGAAAGAACGGGACGCTAATTTTAACTATCTTGAAACCTAGAAATCTTTTAAAATTTACCTTCACTTTTTTAATATAATGTAAACCCTGAGGCATATCATAAACGAAAATAATAATAATTTTGAAGCGTCAGCAGAGTAGTGGAGGGGGAACAGTGCAGCCATCACGCGAGCCCACATCACTACTGGCACTGGCTACACAGCTAGCCAAAATATTACTTGAAGTTATATCATAATTTAGGAAGTTTTATTGATTTGATAATGTGTTTGGTTTTAGAAACGGGACATTTAGGCGTCCCGAGAAACCCTCTCTGATGGCAACCTCTTCTGTTTGAAACCTTCTCTGATGGAAACCTCTTCTGTTTGAAACCTGCTCTGATGGCAACCTCTTCTGTTTGAAACCTGCTCTGATGACAACCTCTTTTGTTTGAAACCTGCTCTGATGGCAACCTCTTCTGTTTGAAACCTGCTCTGATGGCAACCTCTTCTGTTTGAAACCCTCTCTGATGGCAAACTTTTCTGTTTGCTACCTGGTCTGATACAGCCTTCTCTCGTGGCAACCAACCTACTCGGATGGCACCCTTCTCTGTCTCATGACACCCTTTTCTTGTGGCAGCATGCTGGGGCGAGACACTAATCTAGTGTGGTACCCTGGCCAAGAGACACCCTGCTCATGTTCATTTTTGAAATGAACTTAAGTGAACATTGTCAAATTTGTAATTTTCCATTGGGTATCACCCCAAAGTGAGAAAGCATCCGCTGTGGTCTACACCCCTTTTGACGTTAATGTTTAGCTATCTTTTGAACACTTTTAATATGGTACATAAAATTGTGTCGGAGCGAATGTCGAATATCCTTTAACTTTAATTCAAATGTTAGACTCAGGGATAAATCCACGTTTAGTCGCAAATGAATTCGGTCGTTTTGATGAACTGTTCATTCAAATCTGAAGCCAAAGTTTAGGAAATCATACTTGGGTCTTTTGTTTCAGAAGAAAATTTCATAACATTATTATGCACTGTGGAAACTAGTCAAGAAACTGTCTTGCAAAGGAATATAAAAAAAATATATATTTCTGAAATTTTGATTTAAAGGTAGAGTCTACTAGTGACAGTCTTACGTCCATTAATTACGTCAATAATATAGGGGTGAGGGGGTGAGAAAAGTTTGACGATATTTTTTAAAAGAGGGACGATTCAACAGAATAAATGGATTACAAACGGGATTATATTTTTATAATTTGTTACAAAATATGCGTCAATTTTAATGGGTATAAACATTCTTATAATTTCAAATGATAATATTATAATATTAGCACCGACGATGCGTAAAAATTGCCACCTGCTTCTAAATTATTAAAAATTTTTTGGTAAAGTGTGCTTTTGGGGTGGGGGTGGGTGGGGGGTGGGGTATGATGCGGCTAATTTGAATGGGTGCCAAAAGAAAAAAGAGAGAGTTAGTGGCAAATTAAAGAACACGCTTATATTTTAAGTGCCGAATGGTTAGACTAGACAAGGATGATGTTAGACTAGACAAGGGTGATGTTAGACTAGACAAGGGTGATGTTAGACTAGACAAGGGTGATGTTAGACAAGACAAGGGCGATGTTAGACAAGACAAGGGCGATGTTAGACTAGACAACGGTGATGTTAGACTAGACAAGGGTGATGTTAGACTAGACAAGGGCGATGTTAGACTAGACAAGGATGATGTTAGACTAGACAAGGGTGATGTTAGACTAGACAAGGATGATGTTAGACTAGACAAGGGTGATGTTAGACTAGGCAAGGGTGATGTTAGACTAGACAAGGGTGATGTTAGACTAGACAAGGGTGATGTTAGACTAGACAAGGGCGATGTTAGACTAGACAAGGGTGATGTTAGACTAGACAAGGGTGATGTTAGACTAGGCAAGGGTGATGTTAGACTAGACAAGGGTGATGTTAGACTAGACAAGGGCGATGTTAGACTAGACAAGGGTGATGTTAGACTAGACAAGGGTGATGTTAGACTAGGCAAGGGTGATGTTAGACTAGACAAGGGTGATGTTAGACTAGACAAGGGTGATGTTAGACTAGACAAGAATGATGTAATGTCAGCCAGTTCCATAATACAATTAATGTGGAAATAATAAATTAGTTGTTATGCGCTTTTGCAAAGGACTTATCAACGTACCGATTTTTAAAAAAAAATAATTAAAAATCAATTTACTAACAATATTTAGACCTTACCACTTCGTTAATGCAAGAAACCATTGACTCTAGTAATAGACTCTAGCTGTTACACGTTTAAAATTTGTTAAAGGAGTCTTAAAAAATGTAATAAATATGTTGTTTATTGTTTCATGCAGATTTTTTTTTATATCTGAAGCCGAAGCGTTAAAAAGATCCATATTTATTTATATTTTCTTTTCTTGTGAAGGGGAAAAAAAAAAGGGGGGGGGGGGGCTGTTACAATTACTAAGTGCCCAATAATTATTTAAATAAGCTGTGCTTATTAAAATATAGTTAATCAATTTCTTGCTTTAATTAAATAATATTTTTTTAAATAATTAAAATTAAATTAAAATAAGCTTTTTTTACTTTTTAATTTAAAGTTCAGTTACACATTCATGTAGGCCTAGTGCCTAGTAGTCATATTGCAATATTAGATTTTATTGTTTTATCTTCTTTACAGACTTATGATAACTGCTATCCGGAATAATATGATTTATTTATTGTTGAAAAAACAGGGTGGTGGCTCTAGGAATGAGTTTATGGTGCCGGGAGTAGGAGTGGCCTTAAATAACGTTTGAGAAGCATTTGTGTAGCACTTTAAACTTAATAAGATTCGCTAATTATTCCCCTTTTTCTGGTAATCCGACCTGGAATACCGAGCTATGACCTTTGGACTCTGACCCACATCTTCCCGTTCACTCAGACTCAACCTGCTGCGAAACAGAGTGTGACTCCGTAGTATAAAAAGAAAGCTACGTGCCTTTTATTTTGTGTTTTCGGACAGTTCAGCGCAATAATGTTTTTAACCAAACTTACTACGAGAATATCTCAAGCTGCATTAGCTGGAAGAGTTAATCAAAATGTCTTGTATTCTTTTATACGCAAGAACTCGTCTGACTCAACTGTTGCCGACCTAGGCCTAGAGGTAGTGTGGCCTTAAACTTTAAACTTAATTTAAAGGAAGTTTAGAAAGTGAAAGGTTTTTTGTCAATGAGTGCCCCCATATACTTATGGAGGCCCTTAACGGTTTGTGCTTCCAGAATTCGATGTTGATACCATAGTTTTCAGTTATTTTCCCATCACAACTGAGTCCCTTAAACTTAAATACCCGAGGCCCCACTACGCAACGGCAACAGCTCTTCCCACCCAAACCCCCCACCTCCACTCCTCAAAAATAAACAAAACCAGATTTAATATTAATTAATAATAAATAATGATTTTTTTTTCTACCTTAATGAATAGTTGTAATGGTTTGAGAGATAGTCTACGTATCACTATAACTAAAATGTGCAAGGTTTTAGAATGTTACATTTTTATTTTAAAACTAGTTTGTCTCAAACTTTTTGAATCTTGTACAACTTAAACTTAAATCAACCACGACACAGGAAAAAAAAACAACTATGTGCATATTTTGTGATTAAGACATGGTAATGCACTGCATATCTATATATGTATTTTTGGCACATCTCTGTACCACCTGGGACAAGATAATGTACCACCAGTGGTAAGGTTTTAAAAAGTGTATCTATGGGTATCTAGAGTTTGGGGGTGGGGGGAAATAATACCTTTGGACTACCTTAGGCCATTTCTGTCATTCAGAGTATATTAATTTTTCTTCAGTTTGGAAAAAAAGTATAACATCCCTCTTAAGGATTTAATTTCAGATTATTTCATCCCTCCTAAGGATTTAATTTCAGATTATTTCAGATCAAATGGCAGTAACACAAGGAGATTAATGCTAATTTTTTAAAATTTAACCACTAGTGGTGCCATCCATGTATGAATTAAAATATATCTTTTCACAAAAATCACTTATAATATAATATTTATATTAAATAATGTGTTTGTATCAGGCATGAGCAGACACATTGGATTATCCTATTTTAACATTTAAGACCTGATTTAAATGATTATGATTTACGTGTTGGTGAATTTTAAAGTATATTTATTTTATATGCATTTTTTCCCCTCTTCTCTACCAGAAAGCTTCGAAGAGAGGTGCCCGTCCATTTAATCAAAGCGCTTACAATTCCCCATCACCCATCTATGAATTACGAATCTACAACATCCATCCGAAAGATTTCAAGAGAACCGTGATGCTCTTTCAGAAGCATATCTCCACACGTACCAGGCACTCAAAGCTACTTGGGTTTTGGAATGGGGAGATTGGAGGTTCCATAACACAGCTTATTCATTTGTGGGAATATGGTAACTGCAGTATATTTTATAGATAGTTAAATACTGTATGTTTTTTTTTCTCCTTAAAACTTTAGTGAGGATGAAATGGTACATAAAAATCCTGTTTTTGTATTGGCTAAAAAAAAAAAGGATGTATGAAATTTTCAGATGAAAAAAATCTGGCCATCACAGAGTTTAACTTTCATGGTTGGTGCAGTGGTAAAATATCTTGATATGTGTGATAGGATGGGTTGGTACAAGGTAGGTCTCAGAATTTATTTATTTTTAAAAATATTTACCTTGGTTTTTAAAAAAATCTGCAATAATAACAATAATAATAATTAGTGTTCTTATATATACCGCGGTACCCCAGCATAGGGCTGGGCTCACCGCGCTGTATATATAATATTAGCAAAAGAGACATAATCATGACATTAAAGTAAAATACATTTATGAAATAAAGAACAGTGTGTAACCAAAAAACAAACATCAATGTATATTAACCCACCTCCACCCCAGAACTTTTACAAGGCAACCATGGACGGCAGCTAGCAAGATCGTTTATCTGTCAGAGGAGGGGAATAAGTCAGGGTAATATAGTTCAAAGAGATTTGTTTTGAGTTTTGGGAACGGACAGAATACGCGTGTCTGCGGAGGGGCCAAGCTGTCGAAAGGGTGAATAGACAGAGAGATTTGGGTTAGATAGGAAGGGCAGGAATCCGAGAAAAAGTTGTGACAGAGAACGAACAGCTTTTAGTCAGTGCGTGCCTGTATAGGGATCCAATGAAGTGAGTGGAGTGGTGGAGTGACGTGATCACGTTTTTTTGCCTTTAAAACTAGCCTAGCAGCTGAGTTTTGAACTTTCTGCAGTTTTTCTATGAAGTGTTTTGGTGAACCTGATAGAAGAGAGTTACAATAGTCAAGACGAGAGAGAACAAGAGCACAGAGTAGAGTTTTTGTTGCGCTAAGATCTGACTGATAGCGGTGTATGCCGAACGACAAATGTGAGAGATATGTTTATTGAGAGACTTGTTGTTAGAAAGCATATAACCAAGATTCCTAGCAGAGGGTGTAAACTGTATGTTGGAGTTACCTACTTGAAATGAGGTAGGACGAGTTGAGGTAGAGGATGATTTGTGATTGTGAATGAGGAGTGCTTCCGTTTTGTCATCATTAAGCTTCAACTTGCTGAGTGTCATCCATGACTTGATATAAAGATGTATTTATTTTGAAATAATTTTGTAATATGGTAATTTGGTTTCTCAGCAATAAATAAGAATTCTCTGTAGTCCCTGCCGCTGCTCCAAGAAGATGGACAATATTTGGTTATTGTGTCATGTCCATTTAGTTATGAAAAGGAGAAATAATAAGTTTCAGGAAACGGGTTGTTGGTTGATTTTGAAAGAAATTTTTTACAAATCTTTAAAACATCATTTATTCCTTTATTTGTTACACCCACATTGCCGACAACACATTGTGCAAGGTCTTTGTGAGAAACAATTAACAGTGGAATGATCATTTTACAGAGAGCCTGAGTCATCGTAGGAGCGTTCGAACTGGCATGATGGATGATGATACATGGACCTCAGTGTTCTTACCCGCGCTGCTGCCTGCCATGGACTCGTGGGGGAACACTCTTTTGGCCCTTGCACCCAACAGCTCAATCACCCGGGACTTCACCAACAACAGCAATGGTATTATCAATAGCTATAACTAATGAAATTCCATGCATGGCTAAGAGGTACTCAACCTTTAAGGTCATGGCGACTTTTCTGCATCCAGTTTTCCCAATGTCCCATATGCCGAATTCTAACAATTACACTGCGAAATAGCGAATTTTTCCATGACCTTTTTTTTGCACTTGGTGGCACCTCTGTGAGGAAACTCGCGCCCTGTGTGCTGTGACCCACAGTTTGGGAATTTCTTGCAGCATATCTTTTGGTTCAATGTTGTGGTATAAGAGTGGGTATTCTAGTGCTTGCTGGTGAACCTTAATACCATCAGGGTATTCTAGTGCTTGCTGGTGAACCTTAATACCATCAGGGTATTCTAGTGCTTGCTGGTAAACCTTAATACCATCAGGCTTGTTCCCTAATACCATCGGGGCTTGTTCCCCTAATTCTACGAGGCTTGTCCCCTTAATTCTTTGAGGCTTTTTCCTCTAATTCTATCAGGCTTGGTCCCCTATATCTATGAGGCTTGTACCCCTAATTCTATCAGACTTGTTCCCCTAATTCTCTCAGGCTCGTTCCCCTAATTCTATCAGGCTTCTTCCCCTAATTCTATCACACTTCTTCCCCTAATTCTATCAGACTTGTTTCCCTAATTCTCTCAGGCTTGTTGCTCTAATTGTATCAGTCTTGTTCCCCTAATTCTATCAGGCTTGTTCCCCTAATTCTATCAGACTTGTTCCCCTAATTCTATCAGGCTTGTTCCTCTAAATACTAAATATTTTCAATTAGTGTTAATTATGTTTAATGCACATCTATTAGTGTTACACTTGATTAATCTAATCTTTCATGCATAATGAAGTTTGTCATATCAAACATGTTAGTAGTTTTGTTTCTTATGTTATAATTCCTTTTTAAACGGATACTCTCTATGGTCCACTCAATGGATACTCTCTGTATCCACAGCTGTGTATCAACTTGAAATCTTAAAGAGAGATGAGGAATCAGATTTGGAGAGGTTGAAAAGTGATCCAAAGAGAGCAGGAGAAACTCTAGTTGGGAGATTTTTTGCAATTATTGGACAATCAAACATGGGTAGGTTTCACTGTGACAATCAAACATGGGTAGGTTTCACCAAAACAATCAAACATGAGTTGCTTTCATATTGACAATCAAATAATGGTGGGTTTCATCTTGTAAAAATTAATTGTGTTTAGTTTTTATTCTGACTTTAATTTTTTTTAAAGACAGATTTTTAAAAATTGGTGTCATACTCTTTGCTTAGATGATTGATGACTGACATCTTTACAGGCACTGGGTATGATACACTTAGTCAATCTGATCAATTTTTTCTTATTTCATTGTTTTGCATTTTAAGACCTATTTTCACCCTATTTCCTGAAAGAGTACATCAAATCTATAGGTTTTTTTTGGGACATAAAAATTGTGTCAACTCTTAATAATGTCTGTTGTACAGAGTACAGACTTTGGCGGTATTCCCACATAGATGACCTACTCACAGGAGCCTGGCACAGAACATTAGGTATGATCAACTTTTTTTTTCTGAATCATCATAAAACAAGTTTTGTCATACCATTGCAAGGTCACAGGGATTAAAGTTGTCCACTGCTGTGGTTCTCAAATCATGATCTCCTGGAAAGTGAGAATTGTGTGAGAAATAGTGGTTAACAGGGAGATTTAAAAAAAAATAATCTCTGGCTCATTTTTTTCCCCTTTCATTTTTTATTCATAATTTGTCTGTCCCTTGCACTTACATTATATACTCTGAGAATTCAACAGTACTGTGACTAATTAATCACACTGTTATCTAACAATTTATAACCATCTTGTGTACTCACTCACAAACAGGGTCTACAAGGAAAATAATTCATTTTTGCATCCCTTATCTTTAAGTCAACTCAAAAAACAAGAACAACATTTTATAAAAGATCAAAACCATCCACACCACCCGCTACATCCACACCACCCACATCATCATCTTTTGTTTTATTCTCAACCACCAGCCGACCCAACAGAAGGCTCCTCTCTCCTACTGTACCCATTGGGCTTCTCACCTATCCAGTAAACTTTCTGTGGATGGATGGGATTGAAGAGTTTAAGTGTTTGCTGTGGTAATATGTTATTTGTACCTTCAGATTTTGCTTGCCATAAAATTAAACGATGAAGTATTGGGGTGTGAAATGGCCTCATTGAGATTTAATGATTATTACACTAGTAGAGAAAAATTGGGTATTAAGAAAACATCTCTTGTGATAAAATTGGTGTTGGAAAGAATGCTCCTTAAACTTACCAACTAGAAGTTTACTTTTATCAAATAGTTGAGTTTGCAGAGGCATACTGCTCCACTCTTATTTGTTGGAAAACTTAGAATATGTATGTGTGTGCTGTACCTGTACCGTCTCTATATAAATTATACATCTTTTGGTGAAAAAAGGGGGAAGGGGGGGGGGGTGGCAGATGGTAAATTTTACAATCTCTAGGTTCATGTTCAAGGGACTGAACTCAACTGCTCTACATTACCCTACAGAAGGTCATATCAGATTAATTTGGTTGTTATTTGAAAATATGGCTTAATACAAGGGGTGGTCACCGCCACGTCCAATACTGCACCCCGCGGATGCCTGATTTATCACCATTAACTTACTTGCTCATCATTCAGTTTACAAAGAAATCGATTTCAAAAAAGATAATTTAAAGAAAATGTAAAGTTTACATATTAGTTTACTTTTATTCTTTTTAGTTACTGTAATTAGCATTTTATTATGTGCTTTAAGAATAGATAAAAATTTTCTTCTATGCAGCATTTATTGGGTGTTTATTTCAATATAACTTGTTACGGTATGACATGGGACCCGTGAAGCAATTTTGATTGGCCACCACTTGCTTAATAGAAGATAAGGCTTGATTCTTGACAATTCGGTTTTGAAAAGAAATGTTTTATCTTTTAAATGTAGTGATTTATTCGAACAAAATATTGACGGTGAATTTAAAAAAAAAGATTTGGGGTTAAAAACAACGATTTTTAAAAATAAAAATAAACAGTCTGTTACGTGTGCTCCAAACTGTGCTGATGCTGTTTGTACACATATGTCATGCATGTCAACTATTATATGGGTACATAAATCTAGATAGCGGGATTAGAACTGAATTTATTGCATGTAACAGATAAAAATAGAGTTATAAATTGTTTGTTACACATGTCCCTAAATACTTTCCTTGCATCATTCAATCATTAAAGTAAAATCATGTCAAGGTGTGCATATCTGGTGTGATTTTAGTTTCTTTTTAATAGTTTGGGTTTTCAAGTTACATTACTTTCTGGAGTTTAAACAAAAAAAAATTTTGTTGAGCATGTTGTGACAGTGTCTCAATGATTTCAGTGAGCATGTTGTGACAGTGTCTCAATGTTTTCATTGAGCATGTTGTGACAGTGTCTCAATGTTTTCATTGAGCATGTTGTGACAGTGTCTCAATGATTTTATTGAGCATGTTGTGACAGTGTCTCAATGATTTTATTGAGCATGTTGTGACAGTGTCTCAATGTCTTCATTGAGCATGTTGTGACAGTGTCTCAATGATTTTATTGAGCATGTTGTGACAGTGTCTCAATGATTTTATTGAGCATGTTGTGAAAGTGTCAAAATAAATGATTTTATTGAGCATGTTGTGACAGTGTCTCAATGATTTTATTGAGCATGTTGTGACAGTGTCTCAATGATTTTATTGAGCATGTTGTGACAGTGTCTCAATGTCTTCATTGAGCATGTTGTGACAGTGTCAAAAATGATTTTATTGAGCTTGTTGTGACAGTGTCTCAATGATTTTATTGAGCATGTTGTGACAGTGTCTCAATGATTTTATTGAGCATGTTGTGAAAGTGTCTCAATGATTTTATTGAGCATGTTGTGACAGTGTCTCAATGATTTTATTGAGCATGTTGTGAAAGTGTCAAAATGATTTTATTGAGCATGTTGTGACAGTGTCTCAATGATTTTATTGAGCATGTTGCGACAGTGTCATAATTATTTAGTTGAATTAAATGATAAATGACTCTTAAAATGCAGTGCAGTTAATGATGAGTAAACAAGGGCATCTAAAGCCAAGTGATTGACTTCATCAATTAGAGCACGGCTGTCGCACTCCAAAATCTTCTGGACATATGAGAAGCCTTTTCTAATTTTGCACAACTACTGTTGGGGGTTTGTACTGGTTGCTTTGATTTTACACAAATAATACCCCAGATTTGTCTGTTGTTGTCAATGAAAGTTCAACTATAAAATGACAGGATAGGAGTATGGTTAAGCTGATGCTCTTCTGATGTATTGTTTCCTCATTGAAATGATGTAGATTTGTTGTTTTAAAATTCCACATCTATTTACAAATTTATTTTTTTATATTAGAAATGGTCACATGACCACCAGAACCATGAATGAAGATTGTTTTCCAAGTGTTTTTTTGAATAATATCCAAATGTTTCATTTTAAGATCATTTGCTGTAAAGTTTTACTTGCCACTTATGTGATTGGTTCTCTTGAGTTCTCTACCCCTCCATTTTAATACTCGGGTATCAGTTTTAAATGTTCAAAAGCACCGAGAGACGTTGAGGTAACTACAATAATAGCCTTGACCCATGACCACATCAACATGTCAGAAATAACACTGCACTAATCTTCTACTCATCAGCAACCAGGTCTTGGGGGATGCATGCACCTCTGCATGTCATGTGACACTGCAGGATTAATCAAAAGTTATTATCAAGCAGGGACTTCCTTGTCATAATAATTTTTTTTTTTTTTACTGTTTTGTTATAGTCAAATGTCTTTTCTAGTCATGTTACTCGAGTCATTTTTAAAAGTATCTTTATAGGAGACTCTAATTGTCTATTGTTACTGCACAGCTAGAGAGCTATTGTGTGGTTACATAATGTATGTGGGAATGGGAAATGCTATACTAACGAACTTCAAGTGCACATATTGAATAAGCAATAGTTTAATTTTGTTTATCCTTAACATAACAATTGTAGTGGGGGATAATCCTTAACATAACAATTGTAGTGGGGGATAATCCTTAACATAACAATTGTAGTGGGGGATAATCCTTAACATAACAATTGTAGTGGGGGATAATCCTTAACATAACAATTGTAGTGGGGGATAATCCTTAACATAACAATTGTAGTGGGGGATAATCCTTAACATAACAATTGTAGTGGGGGATAATCCTTAACATAACAATTGTAGTGGGGGATAATCCTTAACATAACAATTGTAGAGGGGGATAAGATATAAAATCGCAGTTTGAGCACCCATTAACGATCATTCATTTTTGTAGCATTGTTTCAGTGTTACTTTAACAAATTATCAAAAGTATTTATAAGATACGTGATAGTGTTGCTGAGGGAAATATTCAGCAGCATTTTAATGCAGCTTTTGAAACTTGCTCAACTGTTTTATTTCAACAATAAACTTTTAAAATAAAATAATGATGAAAGAGGAACGGTGCCTTCAATGACGACTTTGTAATTTTTAAAGTCTTTTTTTCATCTTTTTTTAACATTCAGATTTTTAAATACAATCATGGGCGCACGCAGTTAGTGGCAAGGTGGGACACTTGCCCCCCCCCCCTCCCCCCCCCTGGATTGATTGGATAAAAAATTTTAGACAAATAATTTATTAAAGTAAAGAGAAAATAAAGAGAAAGTAATTAAGCTGATGTCCTGTCCGTTCGTTCACCATACAAATACGCTACAGTAACTTAAAACTATATTAAAACATTACTAAAATTTCACCACAACATAAAACTCTATTATAACCATATAAAATTTCCCCCCCCCCCCTGGAAAGTTAATCGATTTTTTTTGCCCCCCCCCCCACCCCTTGAAAGTTTTCTGCGGGCGCCCATGAATACAACATAAGTGTATTAATAACTATTTAGCATATTTGAGTTCCCTGTTGGTATTTAACACTTTGTTGTTGGTAGTTAAAATTTTCTTTTTTGTATTTAAAAGTTTCTTGTTTGTAGTTGAAGGTTTCTTGTTGGAAGTTCCCTTGTTTGCAGTTCCCTTTATTGCCAGTCCCTTTTGATAGTTCCCTGTTGGTGAAGGTAATGATACACTGCTAAATTAACATGTTTAGCTTTGGGCAAGGGGGGAAAAGTAGAAAGTTCTTTCAATAAAAGACACCCTGAAGTCCGTGTATGTGCGGCGCCCTTCCTTTGAATTCTGTTTTATTGGAAATCCAGTTTAAAAATAGTTTCTTTTAAAAAAAGAGATTCAGAACTATGTAAGGCATTAATTGAGTTATGTCCCCTTTTTTGAAAAGCTCCTCTTGTTTCTCTCATTCGACTTCTTTTAATCTCCTTGCCAACATTTTTTTTTGACCAGACCCAAAGAATTTCTTTAAGCAACTTCATTTCAATAAATCCAACAAATTTGAATTTTGCCTCCAGTTTTTGCTAAGGTTCAGACATTTTCACGTGTAGAAAATAAAAACACTTCTTGTCCATTTCATTGACTGGCCACTGGTTCTGATAGAAGATGTCATTTTATTTTCTCTATCACCTGGATCTTCATTGGTCAATTTGTTGATGTTCATTCTAAAATTGATCAGTTTGTTGATGTTCACTCTAAAATTGGTCAGTTTGTTGATGTTCACTCTAAAATTGGTCAGTTTGTTGATGTTCACTCTAAAATTGGTCAGTTTGTTGATGTTCACTCTAAAATTGGTCAGTTTGTTGATGTTCACTCTAAAATTGGTCAGTTTGTTGATGTTCACTCTAAAATTGGTCAGTTTGTTGATGTTCACTCTAAAATTGGTCAGTTTGTTGATGTTCACTCTAAAATTGGTCAGCTTGTTGATGTTCACTCTAAAATTGGTCAGTATGTTGATGTTCTCTATAATTGGTCAGTATGTTGATGTTCACTCTAAAATTGGTCAGTTTGTTGATGTTCACTCTAAAATTGGTCAGCTTGTTGATGTTCACTCTAACATTGGTCAGTTTGTTGATATTAACTCTGAAATTGGTCAGCTTGTTGATGTTCATTATAAAATTGACCGTTTCACTTTGTACAATGATGTTGTTTTATACTGAGGTGATAAGTTTTTCATAAGTATTTACAGGGGACGTCACAAGCCCTTTAATATTTACAACTAATTTGTTTTAAAAATTTAAAAAGATATATTCAATATAAATGTGGCGTGAATGCATCACAGAATAATAATCTCATTGTTTCCTACACATTCATATTAGTTAGGTAAACAAACAGCTGATTTAATAATATTGAACTATCGGACTGCATTTTTGTTCCCAATCAGCAAGTATAACGCAAATAATTTCCTTTAAATTTTCATTGGCTTTGTTATTCCTTATATGCATACATTTGAATACCCTTATGAAGATTTGTATATGGGCAATCTCAAATTGTTGTTATTATTATACATATTATGAGTGATGTTACCAGTATTCATGTCGGGGCATATGTCATGTGTTCATCTTGCTGTGATTATAATACCCCAGAAGATTTGAATATATTTTCATCTTTTACAAAATATATCAAAATGTACTCTCCACTGCCGGCTTCAACTTTATCATTCAATAATATGCCATGCTTTTTTTATGGAGTCGGTGCTACGACATTGTCATGTTAACAGTTCTCTGGATAATAAAAGTATTTTTTAAATAGCAGTACCAATTAAACAAAAAAAGTGACCATAAGAAATTTGTCCTAATTTAGAGCTTGGAGACAGCACAAGTGTTGGTCACCTCTGTCTGTAACTGTAAGGTAGGGTAACCAACCATGATTTAAATAAAGTAGCCATCCGTGATGTAGAGTAGCCAGCCGTGGTGTAGAGTAGCCAGACGTGGTGTAGAGTAGCCAGCCGTGATGTAGAGTAGCCAGCCGTGATGTAGAGTAGCCAGCTTGACAACTTTCCTAGATTGTTTTAGAGTGGTTTGAAGTTTATTGCCAATACGATGGGCTCTTACTAGTTACACTGGCGTGGGAATCTAGGAAGGGGGGGGGTCCACCCTGGGTCACTTTTGGCTTTATAAGGAGGGGAGGCATCTTCAGCCAACAGCTAGAGTTTTTTGTGTGGAAGGAAGCGGGAAAATTCTTGGCCCGCCCCTGTCGGCCCCAACCGTGGCTACGCCACTGACAAGTTGCAAGTTTTTAACGAAAGTGAAACTTCATCAAAATATGTTAAGTTTCAGACAGCAAGAAATGTTTCACTTTATGACATGTCATTTACATTAATGTCATTTACATTATTGTCATTTACATTACTGTCATTTACATTACTATGTGCCATAATCTTGATTTATTAATAAAATATTGTATCCAATTGCTGGTTTTTTTTTTCCTTCGTTTTTTTGTTCCCTTTTAATAACTGTCACACCCCTTCCCTCAACACGTCACACCCCTTTCCCCCAACACCCCACCCCCCTCCCCCCAACACCCCCCACCCCCCCCCCTCCTTCCCCCACCCCGCCACACCCCTTCCCCCACCACGTCACACCCCTTCCCCCAACACGTCACACCCCTTCC